TGTTGATAAAATAAGTTATTAATAAAACAAGAGTTAGTAAATTGATAATATAAATAATACATGATATCAAATATATATATATATAGTAACAAAAAGATTAATAATTATACAAAAATGGTTTGACTTTCTTTAATTACTTTTTATTCTTGCCTCTTTTACTAGATTTATCTATCACCTTCTACCAGTTTCGCCACCTTATTAGTTTCGCCAGTTTCGCCATTTTGCCATTTTAATTTTTTTTTTGGCGAAAGTCGAAACTAGGTTTCGCCTTTCATCTGTGGCGAAACCTCGAGGTTTCGCCTAACAACACTAGGTACATGTATGGAAAAATCTGCCTTTCGTCCTTGTAGCAAGGGTCGAATTTACGTTTTCTATATGCAGATGCCTCTAGAACATCAGTTGACCTAAAAATACCACATTCTAATTACTATGATTGTGGTATAAAATAAAGAGAAAATTGCCAAAAAATTACCATTCACATTTAAAATTAACATTACGGAAAAATGGCTAGATCACGGGTTCAAAAACTTTATATACAAAGGAATCTTCTTTTAAACCTTGCCTGCATACTTCTGGTTTAAAATTATTTATTCTAAAACATAGCACAATATTATGTTAAAATCGTAATGTACAATTTTCAAAATTTGCAGGTACTTACATTGATTCAAACGTTTCTAGAATTAAATCTTCCTGATTATCATCCAGATCCCTTTGCCATTTTCTCAATAGCAGTTTACATTTTTCGAAACTTTCACTTGCAATCTATTTAATATTATTAGAAATAATCACCATTAAGATCATATTTAGAGTTTGGAACCTGTTTTATTTTTCATGTGTTTTAATCGGTTTTAATATATAAAAAATAAACCGGTTCTAAACTCTAATCACATTAGAAAAGGTATACCTCTGCCACTTTATGACATCGAAGAACATCATTATCCGACAAACGGTGGGAAGCAAATTCGTTTTTGATTGTATCAAAAATCATGTTTAATAATTCTGGCTCGATCACTGAAGAAATTCCGCTTGTCTTATTTTGTTCGAATAAAAATATATGATTCATTGAACTACAACAATTATAAGAAGCATTTTAGAAAAGAAACAAATCAAACACATAAAAGATTTGAAAATTTAGAAATTACAGTATTTCAGCAACATCGTCAATTTTATTTTCAAAACCTCGTTGAATAGACATATCACGATATTCTAATAGTAGACTCGAAACATCGAGCTCGTTGATAACCCACTGCATATATAAAAAGAAATTAAAGTTTCTTCTCTAAATAAACTGAATAGAAGTCGAATACTACCTTTTTTTGCATCCTCACTTAATGAAGATTTAATAACACCAGGCCCCGTAAACCAATTAAGTGAATAATTGTTTTTTATATTTACTTCAATCAAACTATCATCATCTTGTTCATCGGAACTTGGATGATAAGATGAATTATTTTCATCAGTCTCAATAGGTGTTCCAGATACAACAAAAGGATTTTTTGGATCAGCTTCCATTGTCTAGTAATAAATTTTGTGTAAAATTAGTAAAATCAACTAAATTTTCAATAGACTCACAGTACGAACCTTTGCTACACGTTTTGGTAATTTAAGTCATATTCGTTCTATAAATAATGAAGAATCAAAATTTATCATTTTGAACATAAATACTGTCGGGAATGATGCTGAAATTTGGAGCCTCAATTTGAAAATATAAACCCTTCTAAAATCCACCTATATTTTGTTATAAACACTAACCCTAAATTCTAATCTAACGATATATATATATATATAAAAGCTAAAATCATCCAAAAAAATTAAAATTCTATAGTAAAATAAGTTAAAATTTCTGCATCATCCCGACAAATATTAATTAATGTATTTACAGTAGCTCACAAACCTCTTCGTTTCTAATTTTGATGTCAGTTAATTCCTTGTTAATTAAGGCCCAGAATTTTACTACGCTTGGAGAAATTCTTTCTTGCTAATTATTAAAAAAAAAACATGTTAAATGTTTTTAAAGTTATTTTCATTTTGGCGATAACATGTAAGAGCACTCAAGGGAATCGAAATCCACTATCACCAGCCAATCGAAATCAGCCAGCTACTTGGGGGTTGTCAATACGTCACGTTATACCGGAACGTATTCTAGTCCTAGTCCAAGGACGCCCGAGGGAACCGTAATCAGCCAGCTACTCAGGGATTGTCAATACGTCACGTATTGTCTCAGTGACCGGAACGTATTCTAGCTCTTAGTTCAAGGACGCCCGAGGGAATCGAAATCCGCTATCATCAGCCAATCGTAATCAGCCAACTACTCAGGGGTTGTCAATACGTCCTCAGTGACCGGAACGTATTCTAGTCCTTGAATACATGAAATTGCCCTAATCTCAAATAATATACACTTAACATCAAAATTGTCTAAAAGGTTTTTAGCCCACGCGTTATGAACACATAATTTTTCTAAAGATACTCTGTATATCAAGTGTTCCTTTGCTTTGTCATATGAGAAATCATGTTGTTGTTGCCTGTATATTAAAAAATCTATTAACGATGGTTCCTTTGCTTTCTCGAAATAATCCGATATTTCTTTCATTGGTGATTTAGATAATTACAGTGGTGGACACGGACGCGGCTTAAAAATCCATCAGGGGCAGTTTACTTATCAGTTATTTGCACGAGTAACACAAACCAAAAAAGGAAATCAAATTTTGTAAATAAACCAAGTGCGTAAAGTAGGAATTTTGACAGGGAGTAGGATCGATTTTACTGTCACGTGATATTCGGAAAACAAACGTTGTTGAGCTAAAAGCATCTTTTATATTTGGATTAGAGTTTAGGCTAAGGTTAGGAAGAAAGATGGTATAGCAAAATTGCACAAGAAAAATTTTTTATGAGGACTCCAAGGATGGTTTACTAGACTTAATTTTGAGATAAATACGATTTTTGCAAAGCGAACGTTTGTTTTGAATTTCTTTACGTTACACCTGGAGATACAAAAGATCAAGAATCTAAATGAGAAGTGAATATTTTGAAGGGTCGGAAGGTGGTTCGGCGACTAAGTAAT